GCCCACCTACTTTTATATTTGGTTTTTGAAGATGGCCCACCTATCACAAAGATGGCCCACCTACTTTTATACACTCCTCTTTCATTATATTTTAATTTTTTCCTTTTTAAATAGTACTAAAAAATAAATTTAAAATATTACAAATTCGATTAACTCTCAAAATTTTACGCGAATTGTATAATTAAGACGAAGGGAATAACATATATTATTTGAAAAATTACTATATAATTACTACTCTTCTTATATAGTAATATTTTAATTTTTTCCTTTTTAAATAGTACTAAAAAATAAATTTAAAATATTACAAATTCGATTAACTCTCAAAATTTTACGCGAATTGTATAATTAAGACGAATGGAATAACATATATTATTTGAAAAATTACTATATAATTACTACTCTTCTTATATAGTAATATTTTAATTTTTTCCTTTTTAAATAGTACTAAAAAATAAATTTAAAATATCACAAATTCGATTAACTCTCAAAATTTTACGCGAATTCTATAATTAAGACGAAGGGAATAACATATATTATTTGAAAAATTACTATATAATTACTACTCTTCTTATATAGTAATATTTTAATTTTTTCCTTTTTAAATAGTACTAAAAAATAAATTTAAAATATCACAAATTCGATTAACTCTCAAAATTTTACGCGAATTCTATAATTAAGACGAAGGGAATAACATATATTATTTGAAAAATTACTATATAATTACTACTCTTCTTATATAGTAATATTTTAATTTTTTCCTTTTTAAATAGTACTAAAAAATAAATTTAAAATATCACAAATTCGATTAACTCTCAAAATTTTACGCGAATTCTATAATTAAGACGAAGGGAATAACATATATTATTTGAAAAATTACTATATAATTACTACTCTTCTTATATAGTAATATTTTAATTTTTTCCTTTTTAAATAGTACTAAAAAATAAATTTAAAATATTACAAATTCGATTAACTCTCAAAATTTTACGCGAATTGTATAATTAAGACGAAGGGAATAACATATATTATTTGAAAAATTACATTAAGAATACCATAAACCACAATAGTTAACAACTTACAATATTTGAAAAACATATTAACTCTCAAAATTTCACATGTGTCACATAAATTGGGACAAATGGAGTAACATATATTATTTGAAATTACGTTAAGAATATTATTAATCACAACTTAAAGTATTTAAAAATACATAACATATATTATTTGAAAATAATGTAAAAAATATTATAAATCATAATAATTAACAATTTAACGGATATTGTGCCCGTGCTTCCATTTAGAAGTGAGAATGTTTAGGAGCTTAGGGTTAGTCAGTCAATTGACCGATTTGCCCTTCTTCTTCAACTTCCTCTATTTACTACAAAAATAGTACTAAAAATCAATTTAAAATATTAAAATTTTGGTTAATTCTTGAAATTTCACATGTATTGCATAATATAATAGAGTAGTAACATATATTATTTGAAAATTATATAAATAGTACTAAAATATAGTTTAAAATAGTACTAAGAATTTGATTAACTCTCGAAATTTCATATGTACTGCGTAATTGAGATTGAGTGAGAAATATATATTATTTGAAAAATAGAATAAATATGTGATATTATTAGAAAGAGCTTTAATATATATTTTAAAAATTATTTTGTCTTCCGTATATGATTTTCTGCATATATGTGGAGTTTTAAAGTTTTTAACATTTTAATATAGAAATATGATTATTTGAAAATTTTAGTACTTTCTTCATTTAAATTTTTCCTTGTTTTTCTTTTAATTTGTTCTAGATTTAAAAATTACATAAAAAGTACTTAAAATCACAATGTAATAATATAAGATATTAAAAAAACATAATTAAAAATCATAAAAGAAATTTTATTGACTCTTTAATTCCATATTGAAACATAAGAAGTTTGTTTGAAAATAACATAAAAAGTAACGTAAATTAAAGTAAAATAACAACTACAAATATTTAAGAATCATATAAGAAATTTAGTTGACTTTCGTAAAAGTACCTACGTCACATAAAATGGAACAGAAAGAGTAATATATATTATTTGAAAATGATATAAGAAGTGCTATAAATCACAATAAATTAACAACTTCAAAATATATTTAACAAAATCACATACAAAAAATTATATAACTCTCCAAATTTCATCGGTGTCACATAAATTGAAACAAAGAACTACTCCCAATTTATGTTATTTACTTTCCTTTTTAGTCAGTCCCAAAAGAATGTCACATTTCTATATTAAGTAACAATTTGATTATAAAATATTTATTTTACCCTTAATGAAATAATTTACAGTCATACAAATTTATATCATTCATTTTGGACCACAAATTTTAAAAGTCTTCATTTCTTATTTAAACTCCGTGGCGAATCAAACTACCTCACATAAAATGAGATGGAGGAAGTAATATACATTGGGCCCGCGCTGGCACGGGAACCTAATAACTAGTAGTATATAGAAAACAAAATAGAGATGAATTGATCAATAAGAATTGGGTGGAATGTTACCTTCAAGGCCGGTTAAGGACATCGGATCGGAAACAAAAAAAAAACAGAGATGGATTGTAGTTTAGATTGCAATAGAATATTACAACTCTTTTTCAAATGTTCAATAAAATGAATGTTCAAATTTTGATTCATTCAGAGAAGAAAGGTGGAGTTTGTTGGAGAAAATTGTGAATGAAGACACAATCTCCAGAGCTGCTACAATTATTACAATGATATGGAAGAAATACGCAGGGTTTGCGTTTCTTTACCCTCATCATCTTCTAAAATCTTCTATACTTTCAGTTTTAAGTAATGCTATAAATCCAGTTCCCATAAAGCTTCAACATTATTCTTCTTCGCCTTTGCTTCCAGTCAATGTCCAAGTCATTCATGCCAAGAAAATCAAAGACGGGTCTGCTCGCGACTTACCTATCAGTAACTACGTTTTAAATCTTTACACAAAAAGTAACCATTTAGCCTCTGCACAGAAGCTGTTTGATGAAATTACTCAAAAAGATGTTCGAACGTGGACGATACTCATATCGGGTTTTTCTCTATTTGGGTTTAACGGAAATGCATTATCGTTGTTCATTAAGATGCGAAAAGAGGGTATTGTTATTCCTAATGAGTTCACTTTATCTAGTGTTTTCAAGTGTTGTTATAGTGTTAGTAACGGGCTTAGATTAGGAAAGTCCATACATGGCTGGATTGTCGTTACTGCTGCAGTTGATTTGGATGTTGCTTTGGAGAATGCTATACTTGATCTTTATGTTAAATGTGAGTCTTTGGATTATGCTAAACACTTCTTTGAACGGATGAGTGATAAAAACGTCGTATCTTGGAATATAATGCTGGCAGGATATCTCGGTACAGATGATATGGAGACAAGTGTCAAACTTTTTAAAATAATGCCTGAAAAAGATGTTTCCAGTTGGAATACAATCATTGATGGACTTTTGCAACATGGGTTTGATAGGGATGCCCTTAAGCTCCTACGTCAAATGGCCTTAGATGGGACTTCTTTTAACAATGTTACATTTTCTATATCATCAGCGTTGATGTCTTCGCTTAAAAATCTTGAATTAGGAAGGCAAATCCATGGTAAAGTGATGAGGTTGTCAATGTACAAAGACACGCTTGTAAGGGCCTCGTTAATTTTTATGTACAGCAAATGTGGTCAGATGGAGAAGGCTTCTAGGATTTTCCAAGAATTCCATCAAGGTATTGTTGAAGTACAACATTCACATTCTGTTCCGTGGAGTACAATTATATCAGGTTATATTCACAATAGCATGCTGAAAGATGCTTTACAAGTCTTTAGCTCCATGGTACGTGATCAATTGGAAGTTGATGTGTTTACACTGTCGAGCATTCTTAGTGCTTCTGCAAGTAGTGGGCTTTTGGAACTTGGCTGGCAGATTCATGGCTTTGTCCAAAAGCTTGGACACATATGTGACATAATTTTTATTTCAGCAATTATTGACATGTATGCCAAATGTGGAAAGTTAGATTCTGCTCTGCTGTTTTTTGAGCAAACCCAAACTCGGAATATTGTGGTATGGACTACTATGATAAACAGTTATGCTATACATGGAAAAGGATCTGATGCTGTTCAGCTATTTGAGCTTATGCTGAATCAGAGGATTGCACCAAATGAAGTAAGTTTCATTAGTGTTTTAACTGCGTGTGGTCATGCAGGTTTGGTGAAAGAAGGATGCAAGTATTTTAGGTTGATGAAACAAGTTTATGGCATCAAGCCTGGTGTTGAACATTTCTCTTGTATGGTTGATCTTTTTGGCCGAGCAGGTTGTTTAGATGAGGCTTATGATTTCATTCATGAGAAGGGCATCTCTAACATGTCTGAAGTTTGGAAGGTACTCTTATCTTCTTGCTTGGTGCACAAAAATGTAAAGATGGCAAGACATGTTTCTGAGAAATTGCTACAACTTCAGCCAAGTGAACACAGTCCTTACATTCTGTTGTCAAATACTTGTTCAGAGCATGAAAATTGGGATGAAGCATCAAAATTAAGGGGTTTGATGCAGGAAAGGAAAGTTATGAAACATCCGGGTCAATCATGGACTTAGTTAATGAATGAAACCAAGAATTTCACATGGTTGTTATGAGGAAAAAATCAGCAACTAAGTTAAAGATTTATCGAAACAACCTTCCGTGCAACTGAAGACACGCACCTCTGAGAGCGAGATAAGTTTGGGAATGTGAGATGCAGGAGAGGAAGAGAAGAGCAGGCACATATGGATACAGCTTCGGATCACCAGATGTATCATTTGCAGCCCCTGTTATGACTTTGATCATGTTACTATTTATTTTTTTGAGTGACCAAGAACAGCAATTGATCAGTTATGACTTTGTGGAATATGTAGTCACAGTTCCCTCAGATTGCCGGACTAACTTCAACTGACATAGCAGAATCTAATTAGAGGTGATTACATATCCAGTGAAATCCCACAAGTGGGTCTGGAGAGGGTAGAATGTACGCAGACCTTACCACTACCTTGTGGATTATATTTGAAATAGTACGAAGATCATGTGACTTTATGCTTTCTGTTTAAAATGTTGTGCCTTTAAGTCCCAGTAGTCGTATTTGTGGAACCTTTATATCCACTAGAGTAACTTCTCTTTGGGGACAGTTTGTAACCGGGTGTCTTTTACTATTCTTAGTTTTCAACAGTAAAACATGCTCATATCCATTTACATTAGCACCAATGATATCCAGAAACCATATTGATGAATGTCTTCTTTTCCAGGTAGCAACTCTCAGCTTTCTCCACCTCATTGGAAATTCAACGTTCTAAATACATACATGTGTATAGCTTTTCACGAACTATAATTTATAGATGATGTTATTGTGTCTTTTCACTACCAGGCGATGCTGTTAAAAGAGGATGCCCATGAAGATTTAAATTGAACATGAAGGGTTAGATATTCACAATTATGTGCAGTAAGTCATTTCTACGAAATCGGTACTTCAATTTCTAATTTCTATTGAGAAATCTCTTATTCTCCTGTATGAAGATGTTAATATATTTGGGACTAGCATTTTATTTGATGTCTACATTCACAACCCATGTAAAATTAACCCAAGAGTTGAGCTTTACTTGTACAAGACTCTGTATTTGCCACCCTAATTGGATTGTATCACTTATATATGATGCTCAAAGAACTTCTCAACTTGAGTTTTAAAGCGCAAAAATATGGTATAAGCCTCATTTTTGTAACTCATAGGAAATAACCATGTAAATTTGCTAAAGTCATCAATGAAAGAAACATAATAACAAAATTTATTGCTAGAAAATTGTTGAGAAGGATCCCATACACAAGTGTGGATCAATTCAAGAGGATAAGGAATGCTAGAACTGAAAATAAAAAATGGCTACTTATGACTCTTCCCATATGAATTGGATTATTGGAGTTCAGATTGCATTATGTTTATCTTTTGTGTATTCAACAATGAATAAAGATATATCATTATGGAATACTCCTAATTATTAAAAGTAAACAGTTAAAAAGCTGAAACCAAAGTAGAAAGAAGATAAAGGTAGAAAAAATAAATAGTACCAAGGAGGATAAGAAACATTCATTGTCCACTTATTTAAAAGTGATTTGATCAATGCAATAAGTTACAAATAAAAAACTTCTTGCCTATGCTATTCAAAACAAAAAAGAAGGAATTTATATTCCCCTTGGACAGAAGACCAGCCAATTTTCTCTTCAGTTGTTTCAACTCTTCGATCCCTTTCACATATAAATATCCTACTCGTAATTTTTTGTCTTTTCTTTGAGTAAGCTAAAATCCTCACTCTAACTCAAAATATTAACCCTACATGAAAGATTCTTTGCCATAAAGCATCAGAGTTAGGAGAAAAAAGTTATTATGAAATCATAATTACGAATATTTACACAGAATAAGGTTTTGGAAGAGGCATATCCTTGATGATTCCACACAAGACATCATTGTCTGGCATGTTATATTCATCTTTCAAATCTCTTTTTGGAGAAAGGGCGCTAAAGTAAAGTTGTTGCCCCAAGTATTGTCTTTCCACTGAGTTGGATCTCAGGTTCCAAAGACCAGCATTATCAAGAGTGGTCATTATGGCTGCCCATGAGTTGGGATAAACTTGGATGGTATTCCTGGATACTGCATCAAGCAAATTGTAGTTCTTCCTCTTCTCTGGGGTCCATTTTCCAGGTTCAATCCTGCATGCACAAGGTAATTTAATTATATTACTATTGTAATACCCATGATTTCAACTTTACAAGTTCAATTTTTAATATTCCAGGATAATACTCATAATTAAAGGTACTCACGCAACAGCGAAGAAGGAGTATCCGGCCAAGTGAAAAGATTGTACACTCTTTTCATGGTTCTCAAAGATGATCTCCACAAAGTTACGGTAAGTGACTTTAACTACATTGGGTGCGAGTGTGATCTTCTCTTCTGCTTTCCCAGCTGGAGGTTCATATTCATCCTTCATAAGGTCATATTTGAAGATCTTATCTTCAACACCATAGTATTCAACCAACTTAATTGGGGTTGTAGGGTTCACATGTGAGACACCATTGATGGCATATCGGAGCTTTCCGTCCACAGTCCCGGCTGTATTCACAAGTTTGATGGTGCGTGTAATGTTGATTTGGCCGTAGTGGTATGATCCTTGTGGATTAGGTCTAGCTGCACTTGCCGTTAAATTCCAACGGAAAGAGCGAAATTGGTTGAGTGACCAAGCCCAACCAATTGGGGCTTTTGGCAACTCTGGTGAGGCAGGGCCATTGCCATTAGTGTAACGGATTATGGATGTAGCAGTGTGGGGTTCCTTGGTGAATCGCGTAGAGGCCACAAGGAGGTAATCCTTGGGATCTTTATCAGCAGTCACTAAGACAGAGACGCATTGTCCCAAGTGAATATCTAGTGAATCATACATGTTTTGCACAACGTGAGATCCTTCCATTTCCACCAATTTCATGGTATGCCCTTGGATTCTAACATTGATGGAATCCTTCATACCAGCATTACAAAACCTATACCTATATGTCTTTCCAGGGGTCATAGAGAACAGTGGCTCATCTTTTCCATCGCCTTTTCCACCTTTTCCATTGATGATTATTCCATCAGGCCTTCCCATCGAGCGCCCACTGTCCAAAAACTTTCTCAATTGAGTATGACTTTTGGTGTACCAATCACTCACCAAGACAAAGAACTCATCGGCAGGGTTAATATCAAAGGGGATGGGAATCAATGCCCGACTATGGACACTTATTCCACCATATCCACCAGCTGCTCGATGCAAAGCTGTGGTGGGGTAGTAAAAAAAGCTTCCAATTTGATCCTTGACCTGGAAATGGTATGTGAAATTGCTCCCTGGAGGAATGGGACAATTGGTGCCAAGGGTGCCTTCTTGCCAAGAGTTTTTCCTCTGTTGGATGCCATTCCATGTGAAAAGGAATGGCTCATCCAACTGGTTGAAGACATTGACAACAATGTTATTATTGGATGTGCCATTGATTATGGGTCCTGGAAATTTATCATTGATCAAAATAACTTGCTGAGGAACACCAAGAGGAGAGATGGTACCATAAGTCACTTTCCATTCAAAGGTCAAAATAGGATCTCCTCCTTTCACTAGTGATGTTGAAAGACACAACACTATCAACACAAGACCAAATCTCAACTTTTCCATCTTATCTTTTCCTTTTTTCAATTTTTTTCTCAGTTTAATTTTAATAGAAACAATAAAATGAGTTTCTATTGATAAAAAAGACAATCAAAGAAATGATTGTGCATTATGTTGAGAGTGACTAACTTACCTTTTTATTTATTAAGTGGTATGTGAGGTTGTTTGGTGAGGTAAGATTAGTGATTGATTGTTGGCCAAACAAAAATATCCGTAAAAGTTTCAACACTCGTCCGCATGCATCGTTTGCTCAATGGTTTTTGCAATTGTTTGTTATTACATATAATAATAAAAAATTGTGAAGTTCCACTTATTTTTAAAGAAGAAAAAAACACCATATGTTATGAATATATTGAAGTGCGCATTCTTTTCTGAATGATTGATGCATCATTCATTAGAACTCTTCTTAATATTCAAATTTTGGCACATAATTTCAATTTGTTATTTAAATTGGATTCAAATGGCAAGATAATATTTTTTTACCTTTAAATATGTATCTGTCTATTTTAATATCCTACAAGGATACGTTAGAAAAAATAAAGTACCTAATTTCTTTTAAAATAGTCACTCTACATCTATCCATCTATATCTATATTTATCTATATTATATTGAAATCATAACAGTCCTTGAAAAGGTTGATTGAACTTTTTGCCATTCATTAAAAGCTTCTACAAAATCTTCACAACTATAACCTACATGAAACTAGCCCAATCTAACAATGCACAATTTAAACAGCTCATAACTCAATGAAAACACTCCGACGATTTTAGATCAACAATACACATGATAAAGCCATCAATCACAATTCCCTCACTAAAGCAATCACAAGCTCATCGTGATAAAGATATGCAATACAATGAAATGCAATGCCAAGTATGGTGATGCATGCATGGCCTAGTGATACACATCCACGGTCTCTCAGTCTGGGAGACATGAGAGACTTATCAATATATGCATCTGTCGTGGCGTGCGACATAAACCTCGTTAATAGAATTTGTTGTGGCGTGCGACACATCCCTGGATAATAGAATTTGTTGCGGTGTGCGACAAGTCCCTCGATAATAGAATATGTCGTGGTGTGCGACACGTCCCTCGATAATAAAATTTGTCATGACGTGTGACACATCCCTTGAATCATAATATCCGTCGCAGCGCACGACACATCCCTCAAAATGGTAAATCCTCTTTAATTCCTTATTTTTCCTCAATTCACATAATACTTGCTGCAACTATGTCTAAAAACCAATGCAAATGACATGTTCACACAATAATGTGGAGAGGACCATTTCCATAACAATGCACAATTCCCAACAACACAATCATGATACAATATCAACAATAAATCAATAAACCTTTCAAATTATTGCCAACACATCACACATCAAAAAGATATACCTTGGTTATATTTTAAATTATTTTTTTTGAATGTATCCTAATTTTGGTCTAATTCTTCTTCTGATGATCGATTCAACCTCTGATAAAATAGATATACCTTGGTTATATTTCATCTCTTCAAAAAATTTAGTAATGAACATATAAAATTATGGAATGAATCTTTTTTTTAAAGCAAAAGTTTTACTACTCAAAACTTCCAAAAATCACAACGTTTCAACAACATTCCTAAACCAACTTCACAATCTAATCTAACATGACTTGGAGCAACTATAGATAGGGGTAAAACAGAAATTTTATGAAAGTTTTCTAAAATGGCCTTCCGGGTCATTACAATTTTAAACCCCACTGATCATTTAACTGAACTTATGTGACACTGATAATGCTGAGTTGGAAAAATACATGATCGCACGGTTTGACAACAAAGTAAATAAGGTATGTTACATTAAAAATATTTCAATTATAATAATAATAATAATAATAATCATTTTAAAAATAATAATAATAATAATAAAGAAAACCTATCTTCCTCAACAATCCCCACCCCACCCCAATTTCTGACCCTCTCTCCTTCGTCCCCAACCCTATCTCTTCTCTTTTTCTTCATCTTCTTCTTGGAA